GACTCAGTAAGGTGGGTCAGATGTACATCAGTTAAGCCAAGAAAAGACTCAGTAAGGTAGGTCAGATGTACTTATTCATCAGTTAAGCCAAGAACAGTCCTATGTTAGACGGGATTCCACCTCCAAGTTGGACTAGAATTAGTTACAGTACCTGTATTTGCCCAGCTTGTGCTTCATGGAGTGACGTGCTCAAAATTAGACTTGAATTCCAGTCTTTGAATCTTTGAGTTTGTTCCTCCAAGAGTTTGTTGACTGGATCAGCTCTTCAGCCTTTCCATGTAATGCCTGATGTGGCTGTTGCTTACATTACATTTTGTATATGCGAGGGTAAGATGTGTCTATTTTTGGACAGTATCAGGCAAAGAGAGAGGTAAATAATGACTCTGATAATTTCTCATAAAAACGTTTATATTTTAATGTACATGTACATACAATAAAATCAAATTCTGAAGCCCCAAGTTCCTTTCTCACATTCCGTGATTTGTACTTTCTTATGACAGTTTCAATGAGTCTGTTATTTGGTTTGTTCCCAGCAGTACTGTCCTGATGAATGCTACATGTAAGCGTTGTAATTTCCTTTTTGTTACTTTCATCAACAGCAACATGGTCAGTTTCGTCACAAGATCTTTGAGGCCTCTCATTCCCTACGAGCCATTGCTTTTGGTCAAGATCGATACAGACGCCGTTACTGGGTGCTGCCTCACGCTGGTGGGATTCTTGTAGAAGGTTTGGAGAGTGCTGAACCAAACATGTTTACAGTTGACAATACAGCAACCAAACTGGAGAAAGAGACTCTAGAACAAAGTAAGATCGAGACAGAAACCAGCAAAGAGGAGGTGACGACGGAGGAGCAAGAGGTGGTGAAAGGAGACAAAGAGAAAGACAGTGAGGAGATTGAAGAGGAGAAGAAACAAGACGAAGAAACCAAAGAGACAACAATGGATACCTCATGTAGTGCAAATACTCAAGAAACAAACAAGTCAGAGACAGAGACCTCATGCAGTGAGGATAGAACAGTGCCATCCTCCTCAAATACTCAAGAAGAGGAGGTCAGGATGGAGGTCACTGAGCTTAGATTGGAAAACGACCAGGAAGAACTTGAGTCAGCCGACAATAAAAGAACAGAAAATGTACCCCAAGTGAATGGAGAGATTGCGTTGAATGGCCCAGTTGAGCAAGACACTAGGGAAGACCTGTACATGGAAGCGCCTCTGAACTTAACCAAGGTTGACAAAAGTCACGACGACGGTACTCAGCAGACAGAAACCATTGTTGGAAGTACTGTAAACAAGGATGAGGCTTGTAAAGCGGAAACCTCCACATCAACTGTCAGTGCAAAGATGGAGCCTTCAGAAAGCTCCGAGGATGGAGACCGTAAATCCCCAATTAAGAAGAACAGTCCTAAACTTGGCTATCTGAGTATAGACAGTATGCTACAGAGATCTGACAGGCCAGCATCCTCCTCATCCTCAAGTCCATTCCCTCCAATTACCTCCTCAAGCATACCACCCCCATCTCTCTCTCTAGACTCTAAACCCAATGGAGCCATGGGTTCTTGGTTTAGCATCTTACCTCGTATGCCTTGTGATGACACCTCCTTACTGACCAGTCCCATCAAGCAAGAGGAAGAGACACCCACCCCTAATGATGCTTTCTCTGATCAGTTCAAGCAGGCTGCCCAGGCTGTGCCAGCTTTTGGTCTAACTCCTTACGGGATCTATCACGTACCCTTTCCACTTATGCACGTGGGTCAGATGAACGCCTTCATGGGAGCTTATAGCTTCCCTGGAGTAGCTCCCATTCCACTACAGACTCTACAGATGAACCAGATGGATCAGACTGCCAGCGTTAATCCTCTGCTACCCTTAGCCAACACTATCAAGCTCAAGACAGAGCAAGAGGAAGAAGATGAAGAAGAAGAAGCTGACTTGAAGGCCATTGCTAACATGCAAGCTCTCTTAGATCAGATGGAGAAGGCACAAACGGATCCCGTACCTGAAGGTTGGTACTGAGCATTTAGAATCATAACTTTTATTGTTTGCCAATAAACAGTTAAGGACAAGTCATTGCAGACTCTAGCAAAAACTTTTTTGGAATGTCCTTAGTTTTTGGAAGTGTTGCCGTGTAGTAGTCAAAGTGTTTTGATAATTATTCTTTGATAAAATATAAAGTTCTCTGAGACACTCGGCAAAATTCAAATGCATGATTGCCTCATTGCTTATACAAGATACATGTATGTTATGGAGATTAATCTTGGTGCTTTTGTAATTTAAAGCTTGCAGTGGTGCTAAACACCATGGGAAGTTATTTCACATTGTATTGTTCTTTTGAAGGAAAGCTTGTCTAATTCATCAGTTATTGGTGAGTGTCATACATGATTTTTTTTCTCCCTATGTGCAGACTTGCAACAAGGTTGGTGGCAGATCTGTGATCCTAACATGCTACGCCTCATCACCAGGTCTCTTCACATGAGAGGGATCAGAGAGAGAATGCTGCAGAAAAGCTTCCAGAAGTACAATGATTTCTCTCTCAGAGTGTGTTCCAAAGGAATCAAGAATGGTGAGTAGTGAAAGATGATTGAGTTGGAAGTGTGTGCACTCTCAATCTATCAACAATTGTAGACATTTGCACCCTTTGCACCAAAAAGCGACAATGTACACAACTCAATATCCCCTCTTGAGATGAAGACATAAACAGCAGTGAAGGGGAAGTTTATTAAATAATTGAGAGTTTTCCTTCAGCACTTGCTGTAATGATGAAATAAGCTTTTTAAAAATGTTGAGTTACTCCTTTCGTTTGATACCACACCTTGCCGTACCAACAGACATACTTATCCAAACTAAAGAGAAGAAGACAACATACCCTGACAACAACAGCATTCCACGTATCCCACCGCCCGTCTTTGAAGAGCAAGAAGGATGGTTTCAAGAAGTAACTTTTGCCGCAAATCGTGGTATCTTGGAGAGCGTAGAAGCCATGGAGGAACGTGTCTTTTCGGCCAGTATGCAAGTCAAGGTGAGTACTGTCAGGCCATGTAGCAAATCTTGGAATCGAGTCATTCCTAACACCATTCATTAAGTAATTATTACCATGAGGAGTCAGTCTGTTACCACCAATAATGAACCATCTTGGTGTGCGAAATTCAATTTTGACCGGGTTAGTGACAGTGTGGGTTCTTGAAGTATGGCATTTTTTGTTGACAATTTTCAAAGGAACTTAGCATGAAAGTACCAACAGCCATGTTGATGAACCACACCTTTGAGCAAGCCACTGATATTTTGGTGGTACAGGATTTCTTACTGATAACAATTTTTGAATCAAAAGCTAAAAAATAAATTAGTGAATGCGTGAAGGGCACAAATCCAAACATTCAAGTCTCGACTTGAAGTCTTTGACTTAATTTTAGGAACAAATTTTGCAGTACTATGAAAACTGTTAGTGACACAGATGTCATACCAGATACATGTACAATGTTTTAAACATAAACCTCTTCCAGTTTTGAGCATGAAACCCACTCCTAGATGTAGACTCCCATTGAAACTGTACTTCTTGTTTGATCAAACCTGAGACCAGTAACCACAATCTCTTGTTCTGTTTAATGTTAGGGATGGGTCCTACCAGAGAAGGTCTCAAATGATCCTAACTTGGAATCCTGGCAGACTGTTGAGAGTTCTGGAGTGGATCCAATAGGTATTGCCATCAAGAGACTCCTGGCCTTGGAGAAATCAGTGGAGAGAAGATACCTCAAACCACCACTCAGCAAAACGTAAGTAGTCTGCATCAGAAAAAACTGGAGAGAATAACAGAAAAATGCCACGCAAAGCAACCCCACAACCACACAAATCTAAAACTTTTCAAGTGCATGCTTGTTCAATACCCAAAAAATTGGAAGTGTGTCTAGATTAACACTAAAATGATTATAATTTGAATCATCGAGATGCGTGGTCTTGTCTGTAAATGAAACACCAGAAACAACCCATTTGTTTCGTCAAGTCCACATCAATGTGCATGGGTTATTATGAGATCAAACTTCTCAATAATGGTCGAACTCAGTGCACATACTTAGAAAAGTCATAGGAACAACAGAACTCAGTTTAATAAAATCAGGTCACCAACATGTGATTTTTATATTACTTTCACTAATCCCCAGCTGAGTTCTACTTGTAGGATCTCATGTCCAAGCCATTTATGTCTTACAACAGTCCAGAATTTGTTTATTGTCCAACGAACACTTGTTTACCAGCACGCAGTAACATTGTTCCACAAAGCTGTAACTGAAGGCAAGCTACTAAAACGTCAACTTTGAATAGAATTTTGGTCGCCATTAGTTAAAGATAGTTTAGGTTTCTGTTGCATTTATTGATGGTTTAATGATTGCCAATTTTATTTGTCTCTTATTTTGCTCTGTTTATTTAACAGCTTTGGTATCATTCTGAAAACTCTGATGAAGTCACTTGTAATTTCAAATTATACTTCATTCAGAATTTCCGTATCTTTGCATTATAGTCAAAAAGTAGCTTGGAAATTTTTTTTAAAAAATTTCCAATAATTTGCATTTGCAAGAATTATTTTGCAGAGAAAGGACAACAAACTGAATTAGGAGCAATCAAAAACAGTTGAAGTACTCAATAAATCGTGTCTTTTCAAAGGAAGCATTTGCAGAAAGGATTTTTTATACGCTTTCAAACAAAACAACAGTAAAATGCTTGAATGACTCCAAACTTTATGGATCTGGCCTGGCGTATATGTCCTGACAAAAATATAGCATATTTGTCTTTTCTTTTATGAGACTTCTCAAGGATTTTGTTAAGGGCCAAACTGTATTGCTTTATCTACCTTTGAAATCAACTCATCAAATACTCCTTTTTCTACTTTGCAATCTTGTTTTCTTTTAACCACTTGCTGCCGGGTGGTTTGAAAAATGAGTGCAATAATCAGAACATTTTCAAGATATTCAGTTTTCAAAATTCTTCAAAAATTCATCTTTTCAATTAATGGACATTTACACCCACACAAATTACTGTCTGGTGGCTACTCTAATCTGACAGACAAAATCTATTGACGCCCGAGTATTTCAGCCAGGCCTGCAGCCTTGTAAAAAGAGCCTGGATTGTATGGTGTTATTTAACTTTCTTTTGTTCACAAACCTGGTACAGTGCGCTGCTGACCTCTTTTCAGTGGAGGCCAGATTGGCGTGCATTGGTGCTGTGTGGCTCATCGCTGCAGTGATGAAGCGCTTTGTCCCTGGTGGTAATCTGCTCGCACTAAATGCCCAAACCGTGGTATACTGTTTCAAAACAAGGCTGGATTATCTCCACTGTTGAGAATGAAAAATGTTGGTATTACCCAGCAGCCTAATCTTTTTTTCTGAGTACGGTCTTTTGTTACATGACCCAGTTCCCTTTGTGCAATTTTGGAGACCCTGGCCACAAGTATAAAGCATACATGTACGTGTCTGGTACCAGAAACCCCGGCGGCAAGTGGTTAAACTTCATGTACATTGCATAACCACATCTTTGGTGATGGACCATGATCGTTATCATTCCATGTGTAGGCGTTTGGGCTTCATTATCTGTTTTGGATGGTGGTAGGAAATATTGAGAGCCTTGATTTCCGTCTTTCTGGGGCACTGTGCTTTTTTGGCCTTTCTTCCTGCTTTTTGAATGTTTTGAAGATAACTGGAAGTGGAGATTTACAAAACTCTTTCCATTTGATTCTTGATCTGCTGACACTTCAGGCTTATTTTGAGGGTATGTGGAGTCAGATCTGGCATTCAGAACATCTTCTACTTTCTGTTGAAGAAGCTGCCCCTGACTATTTGTAAAGATTGATGAGGGATTAGATTGCCAATGGTGTGACATTGTATTGGAACTCCAGTCAGACGTTTTCCTTTTGAATTTGAATGCTGTTCATCAACATGAAGCAACTGATTCAGTTTTGTCTCAGAGATGTCTAAAAACCTCAGGGTTAACCCTTCTCCAAGACAATGTTGAAAAAGCTGAATGTTCTCAGTGTGGTTCGAAAGTTTATTAGAACAAATCTGTGAAGGATGACACTGTCCACTAAAAATGTGTATTTTGTCAGGCCAACTGCTTGTTTCTGTCGCACGATTCCTTTGATTGGATGCATTTTTCTTTAAAAAGGGAAATTAAATAGCAACTACAAATGAGTCATATATCCTTTGTATAAGTTCTAAGCCAAGTTAAAAAAACGTCCTTGTATTAATATGTATCTTTGGTTTTTAGACTCGTTCAGACTTTGTCAAAATGATTAGATTGACACCTCAGGAAAAGAGCCAGAATGGTTTTTTGTGTAGCTTGGAATTAGTTAAAACCTCAAATGTAACTAAACCGGAATGTTACTTACGTGTAGTTTCTTAACATGTTGCATTATTATTGACTGACTCCGTTTTATTACTACCTTCAAGGTGAGTTGTTGCTTAATAACATTTTTGTTTTGGTTGCTTAACCAGTTATTTTATAGGAAATTTTTTTTTAAGAAGGTTAAATTAACATGCTATGTCCTATGTGCTTCAGCTTTTCTCGGACCTTCGGTGACATTCCCAGGTAAAAAGCCAGCAGCTATTTATATTTCATATTTGCTCATAAAAATCTTTGCAAAAACTCCTCAACAAATGAGCTAAAAACCTGTTAAAAAATTGGATACACCGGAGCAGCTAATGCAAACCATCTTGGCCGTACTAATTGGATAGCAAAGTTCTGTACAGTTCAGGTAGATTTTTTTGTTTGTTTCACTTTTCACAGTGAAAATGCAATAAAAGTAGCCAGCCAGGGTCAGCCAGTCACAGAAAGTGCTGCGTCCAGGTAGGTTGCTGTGAGCAAGCACCTACTGTACATAAAAAATACTAAAATGAAAAGACAATACATGTAGGTGTTGACCTATGTCTGAATGAACTACTCGCTCCAGCAAGTTTTGGTAGATGACTAATCAGAACAAAGTGTGCAAGCGAATACATCGGATTTTCATCTGTGGGACATCAGGTACTTTTGCATGGCCTACAAGGCCTGGTCCAGCCTGCCAGAATTTGGCTACTTTCAGAGAAGAAAAATTTTGTCCAAGAAGTCAATCATTTTTTTTAATCGTGAAAAACAAGAAAATCCCTAAAAGTCCCCCCCAAAAGATTTTTGTCCCAATGTACATGTACATGTATTCCTACCCTAATTTAGATTTTCTCTCGAGATCTTTTAGCTAGGCTTTCATACTGTGTAAAAAGACATTTGCTATCAAGCTGCACCTGTTCATCAATGCCAATAATACTATACCATGCATATTGCACTCACACAGAAAATTCCAAGCTGATATCTCCTTTATGAATATGGCCAGCTATACATGTAGATCCTTTTAGGTCCTTCATAATTCAAGTGGGGAGAATTTTGCCAGATGTACATGTATGAAGTTTAAGCCCACCCAATTACATGTACATGGATATTTACATTGAAGTATTGTTTGAACATGGGAGTAAAGACTGCAGAGGGGCGCAAAAGAAGCAGAGCTCCTAAACATACATGTAGGACCCTCATACATAAATGTACATACATGTAGGACCCTCATACATACATGTACATGTAGGACCCTCATACATACATGTACATACAGATGATAACTAAAGATGATTAAGGACAGTTGAATAATCAGAGTAATTGATGTACTATTACCAACAATTATTTGACAGGTGCATTATTTAATGCCTTCAATTGTTGGAGACTTTTTGTTTTTAGTAAGTTTGACCAGACTGGGAATACATACTTGAGTACTGTTCTAATGGACATGTACGTCAATTCAATTATAACAAGGTCTTGCATCAGGGCATTAATTTTTTTCTAAGAATGCACAAAATGCAGAATTTCTTGGTAGCCATGTATTTAATTTGAATCAAATATGAAGGCCCTGTTGCATTCTAAATGAGTTTTAAAAACCAGGAACCTAACATGTTATTTGCTGAAACAGTCTGATGTGAATAGCAGCCGGACAGCCCGGAGCAAAACGGTTGACGATATTGGAGATCAATTTGGTAGGTACAATAGCATCTTCATCTACACCTGCTAACCGCTTCAAGAAGGGAGACCACCAGAGATTGAGAACACCACCATCTGTTTGCTAGACTGTCTCATGCTGTACTAAATCATTTCAATTCCTAGCTTTCTGATTTGCATGGTACTGTGACAGCCTCTTTGTCTAGGGACACACTTCTTTGGTTGAAGATGCAAGAAGAGTGAATCTTCGTGTGCTCACTTGATTAAGTTATAATTAGATTCCCACCTGCTGTGGTAGAAATGTGTGATATCAAAAGCACAAGTGAAGAGCAAAAGTTAGTCCTGGTACATCCATATTGCCTTCTTTAGTTTCAGATGGTCAAGGCTTGCATGAAGCTTTGTGGACAAAGTGTGTTAGCACCCCTTTCCTGGTGACAAGGAGACAGGCTTGGATAGACACTTTAGTATCATAATTTTTTATCAATGCCTGGCACCCATGTGTAGGCTTTACTGATGGTCACATTTTAAGTGAAAATTATATTAAAGAATTATCCAAAGATATTTTTATCAAAATCTGTTAAGCAAAAGTTTTCAACAATAAATGCTAGACGTAACCTACACCGGTCATTGTGGGCACTTTTCTTTGGAATGTCGTGACTTTCTGTCAACCAATGAGTAGGCACAATTTCTGTTGATGATGATGTTATGGTAGGGTTCAAGTCTTGTGGTGATTGGTGATTGTTTCCAAAGAGGAGCACAGTATTCTCTTGGATAGTCAGATTGTCAAACATGGTAACTACAGGTTATCCATCATACCAAATATCGCCATGACCACTGGTTTCTGGTCATTGGTATTTAGAATAAACAGCATAATAGAAAGCTTCAAACAATGTAATGTTTTGTATTTATGTTGGTTTGTGTTCAGTATTTTGATGAGATGTCCACTGTTTTGTCTGTTGTTTTTGTCCTGCAGATGGATCTCAACAGTGTAATGCTGAAGTTGATTTGTATGTAACATAATACATCTTGAAAATATGTAACATATGTAAAGCTGAACTTGTTCAAATTTCCCAATCTTAGCAGCAATGTAATAACAATTTCAAAACTATTTCATATCACAGAAAGGATGTCAACATAGTTGGAGAGAGTATTTGATTCAACAAGCATAATTTAAACTGACAGGCTAAGCCTTAACCTGATTCATGAGCAGCTCTGATAAGTTGCAACATTTTCCTCACTTGTTGTGATTCCGAGAGTGTCAGTCCTTACTAATCCTTTCTAATCCTAATCCCAGATCTCGTGGCAGTGCAGCAGCAGTGGCTCTTCCTGAGGAATCCCTTTTCCCCAAGGCTGAGGAGGAACCATCCAAAGGATTAGTGCGTTGGCGACGTACCGTGGAGAATGCAACCTCTGCATCTCGTCTACATATGTGTCTGAATGTACTGGAGAAGTGTATAGCCTGGGACAAGTCTATTATGAAAGTTGTAAGTATAAGTTCCCCCAACTCATCAGGTATAGTGCATGACTTGAAAGATGAAGATTCTTAAATACAGCTCAAGAAATGAACATAAAGTGGTTGGGGAGGTCTCTGCTGAGCATACATGTATGCTTATGCCCTTGCCTAATATTGAAAGTAGTTTTATTTTTATTAATTATTTCTGGTAATGACACCAAGGATTCCTCAAAAGTGCCCTAGGCACTGTAGCTCGCAAGCCATTTAATAAACATGCCAAGTGCATTACATTTCTGATTGTAATCCCATGTTGGACACTTCAGTTTTTACATGTAAATGTATGGCATACAATTATCCAATGCATCTGGGTTCCTTCCGTCTTGCCCCATCTTCACACCACTCTAGCTGAAAATCCTGATGTACCTGTGAAAAAGGTAGTAGCTCTGTTGGGCCAAAAAGGGTACAGTTGACCCGTGGGCTGGTGGACGTAATTTCTTCTACCCCCCTCCTCTCACAAAGTAACCAACTGAACTATGGTGTCTTCACCTATTCTGTAGGCCTGCTTCCTTCTATAAAAAAAACAAAGAGGTTGCAGTATTGAATAGATTAAAACAAGAAATTGGGGTTAAGACAGGAACAGAGGTTCTAGAAGTATGCAGCAATCTGTTAAGCTCTAAAATCTAGTGTTAGAAGTAGTTAGGTGAGTGGATTCTCTCTGGGTTGTCTCCTGATACAACGTTCCCCACCCTCCCTCTGTCCAGTTCTGTCAGCTGTGTCGCAAAGGGGATAATGAAGCACTTCTCTTGCTATGTGACGGCTGTGATAAGGGCTTCCATACTTACTGCATCAAACCCAAGAAGACGCAGATACCAGAAGGGGATTGGTACTGTTCCGTCTGTATTTCCAAGGTATGCTCACAGCTGGGAGAATTGCAATATGGGAACGCAAGCAGAAAGCTTGAGTGTACATGTACTTACTGCTGAACTGACAGCAACTTGGTGATTAGGGGGAAAGGGTGAAGGGGGGGGTAGCATTACATTGAGTTAATAACAGCTGAGCTTACCAGATAGAGGTAACAGTTTCATGATGGTGGCAGGTTTTTGAAATCTTATGGGCTCCATGCCATGGGGGTGGTGGTCCTTAATAGAGTATTCAGTCAGTTTGGGCATGGACTATAGTTAAGCCACTGGCTATTTACTATTGAACAACATGCATGCGCAATTCAGTTACACTTTAAAGGCCTAAGTCAAACTATTTTGTCCAATCTCATCCTCACTCACTGGATACCTTTGGCTGCAGCACTTAGGATGATGTCCCATTAAATTAATGTCACATGAATGGTTCCATCCATACCGATTAATAAAATCAACTATTGATAATAGTGATGCAACCAAGCCCCAAGTTCCAAATGGTCAACTTGATAGTCTTAAGCATCCATTGTTTGAGCAATGTTGGTCAAACTATAGTTATACAAAATCCTCACTTTTGTGGTTCAACCAAGATTGCTTAAACAGTGGATAGTTGGACTAGCTTGTTGACTGTAATGGACTTAGGTTCCAGGGCACAGTTGCATTGCTTTTTATGAAATAGTTGTACAAGATGGCATAGACTTTGCATGCAGTCAGTAGCGACATGAGAGAGATTGAATTGACTGAAATGGTTCAACCTACATGTTTCCCAGGGGCGTTTGAAGGCAGTGGTAACAATTGAACAATGGTTGAACTAAAGTTGGTGCTCAATCTTGCTCATTACTTATGACAGTTGAACTGAACAGATCAAAACTTGTCTCATCATTGAAGCAGTTCTTTGATATCTTATTGGCACTGTGCACAAACTGTGCTATCTTCATCAGCAAAGTGGGGGCGCTGTTTTGCTTATGGGCCTACTAACAAGAGCAGAGTGAGGGCACTTTGATGCTATGATTGTGCTGGCTAATTATTCACCTTTTTGGAGTTAATTCTGGCACTTTTCTTCAGAACTCCCCGGACATCTGCATTGTCCTTTGTCGTTATACATCGGACATCACAGCACTCTTTCACTGAAATATCTTGGAGCTTATAGATAGCTTTTGTGTGGATGTTCCCAGTCATACATTCATCACTAATTCATCCCCACTGTGGTGATAATATGTCATCAGCACTGGCATATGATGTCATCTCACCCCCAAAGTTAGACAAATAATTTAATCACCTAACCATGGCAACCAGTTTTGATTATAAAGCTTTAAAGGGACCATGTAATAGAAATATTTTACTAAATTTTACTAAAACTCTTGGAGTGACACCTTTAGTTGTCAGTTAATCGTATTATATAAATTATTGTTTTACTATTTACAAGATAACCCAAATTTTTGGGCTTTTCTTGTTTTTATGCTGATACAATATGCATATTCATGAGCAAAATGATGATGTCATGCAAGGCACTGAATCTCAATGTTGTACTGATTTATGATGAAATTGTGCACACAGAATTTTTCTATTTTTTAACACTGCTTTCGTACATGTAGATTTTATTTCCTTCTGCACTATATGTTGTAAGTATATGGCAATAAGCCAGTAAGCAACCTTCTCTCGGAAATGTTTTCAAGTAGCAAATTTGGAATTCACAATTTGAACATGAAAACATGCAAACTGAGGCGTGTGTTCCTGGATCTACATCAGTGCAAAAGTGCCCTAACTTGTCGGGAAATGCTTGGTCAATTTTGAATGTTTCAAAAAGTGCACTTATCAGTTCATGTAACTCAAAAAAGATTCCAAAGAGTCTTCATACATTAAAGAAGAGTACAAACACACATTGCATGGATCCTTTAAACCGCACAATTATCTTTCAGTTGTGTTCATTTTGTTGTAAGATAAGAATGATATACATGTATTTCAAGTGGTTTATCTTGAATTGTCTTCAATTTATGTTTCCACTGGTCTTAAGAGAAGCTGCAGTACATGTCTGTTATGTTATCTGCAGCCTATTTGGAGTAATCTCCACATGTTTTGAAATTTTAATATTCACTAACAAAACTGTTTTATCACTTTTTTTACCAAAGTTGTCTTTAAGTCCTGACATTAACTCTGATGTTTAATTTCAGTTAAAGGCACAACTTAAAGCTTGCCCTTTAACCTCCAGAATTGCAAAATTTGTTGCTTGTTTTTTGTTGTTGCTGACTAATCTTGAATTCATCATAAAAGCAGCTCACATTTACCGGTACATGTGCATGAACTTTTGCATTTTTCACCATGACAGATTTTTAAAAATATTACATTTGATGCCTTAGAGGCATGAAGAATGTTTTTCTACAAGTGTAAAGAGAAAGCTATCTTTCTAAGAATCTACTTGTTTCATTAGATCTGTAACATAATGACATCATTCCATTATTTTACATGTGCTCTTTCCTGATGTAAACACATTCCCTTTGGCCCTAGAGGAAAGCACACAAGCAAACAAAGTGGGGCATCATTACTTTTTTCAGTCGATTTTATCAGTTTTTTAAGAGTTGGAAGTATTCATAGAAGCAGTATAGCCAGGCAAAGATTGAATTTGGTTCCTTGGAATAGTGCACTAACAAGTTACATCAGTTTCATTCCTTTGACAGGGCAGCGATATAATAGACCAACATTTCCTTCAGCAAGATTGAATGATTCTTGAGACAGGAATAAGTTTTAAGAACTTCCACTCAGTTTAAGAAATTCTTTGCTCAAAATTGATTACCCCAGGTTTTTCCTTAACCCTAACACTCCTCAATCCTTCCCCTGTTGGAGGATTGAGGACTGTTAGGGTTAAGGATAGGGCCTGTCCTATTTGAAGTTGAAGAGGTATGGTCCTTGGTCATCTTGTCAGTCTTCTCCATAGGACCAGCCTACATTGTACTACTCCTTCTCATTTCTTTCACAGGCAACTGGAGAGCCAGGCACATGTACTGAATGCCAGAAGACTGGTAAACTCTTGAAATGTGAGCAATGTCCACGAGCCTACCACCTCAACTGCCTTGATCCTGTACTTAGCAAGTAAGTCAGGGTATCATACTTGTGCTTTGTGAAAATGATTTTCACCAGAAGACCAGTTCATACTGTGGGTGAATGTGAACGCGAAGTGACTTTGACCTCACAAAAGATTTGCAGCGAAATTTTGCTGGAGTTAAAATGTGTTGAACTTTTGGGAATTCACAGCGTCACAATTTTGGTTTAGTATGAAATGGCGGTAAGCCTGTTTGTTGCTTGTATGGTGTGGAATGTAATTCTATGCTTCTTCATCTGGTAAGATTTTAGTTTCTCCCACTTATAATGTCTTTCATTCATACCTCCCTCCCAGATTCCCCCGTGGCAAGTGGTTCTGCCCACCATGCCAGAAGGTCAAACGCAAAGCCTCAAAAAGCCGGAACCACAAACGAAAGAGCAAAGACAAGAAGGAAAAAGGTCATGACAAAGGTCATCACTCAGGTCATCATTCAGGTCGAAGTACACCGGCTGAGACTCCATCAAGTCCAGCCGTGTCAGTGGACAAAGAGGCACAGAAGGAAGAGAAGGCTGCCAAGAAGAAGGAGATGGCTCCTTGCAAGTAAGTCGGTGGTGACTGTCATGGTGTCTGTCATGATGTCTGTCATGGTGACTGTCATGGTGACTATCATGGTGTCTGTCCATCTGTGATGTATGCAAAACAGTTTGTCGAGTACTAAAACCTAGAACTTCCATGTAAGTTCTCTGCCAAATCTACAGTTCATTATCTAAGTTAGGACATACAGGTACAGTAAGTCTTGAAATGTGGAATCTTATTTCGCAGTGAAGTTGCATGATTGTCTGAGCTAGAACTCGTAGTGCTTGAGTCTTTAAATGAATAATCAAATCCTCTCTCATCCCAAGACATCAGCTCTGGAATCCCCACAACTTTTATCTGTGTATTCAATCTAGTCCTTAAACCTGAATTCTAAATATACGGTAAATAGTAAAAATCTGGAGATTTTAGAGTTTCTGTAGCCTCTTGTGACTTATTTCTCCCTCTTGCCTCCCAACTCTCATCTCAACAGGCTGATCATGACTGAGTTAGAGAAGGAAGAGAATTCTTGGCCATTTCTCGTCCCAGTCAACACTAAACAATTCCCCAGCTATCGCAAGATTATCAAGAAACCAATGGATTTCAGCACCATCAGAGCAAGACTCCATGCTGGGCAGTAAGTTTCTTTAAGAAGTGTCCTACTTAAGTAGATTTTTCTGAGGGCAACAGTTTTCTGTCACATGTGCATGCAAATAATTGGTTGTTTTGGTTTAGGGCGTGGTCTTCTTGAAGTTAGACGCAGATTATTTGATGCCTTTCTGTAGATGAC